AACTACACACATGTATGCTTTCAGCTGAAACTCTCTTATTAATATATTTGAATTTGAAAATTGCTGTATGCTGTTTATGAGAAAAATATAGTCTGAAATTAACACTTCAGCTCCGGAAGTAAGAATCACTCACAAGACCTTGAGAATTCAGCAGGCACATTTTCAGTACCAATATGATGCAATCTGCAATAAACTCGCAGTATATCACACCTTTTCAGGAAAAAAAGAAATGTGTACAAAAACAAAAGCTATTCCCTATCGACATTGGGAAGGAAAAAACTATGCCTTTTTCTCGGTCCAAATACAAGTCTCTCTCTTGTCAACAATTAAAGTCAAATTGCTATTGATTTGTGACTGTCCCTGCTTCACGCATTCGACTGAGAGCGGTACAACTCTTTCATTTGTGATCTTTATTCACTGTCCTTGGCAAGTTGGAGATGCCAGTTGGAAATTTGAAAAGCCAAATCATACAAAACTACATACATGTATGCTTTCAGCTGAAACTCTCTTATTAATATATTTGAATTTGAAAATTGCTGTGTGCTATTTATGAGAAAAATATAGTCTGAAAGTAACACTTCAGCACCGGAAGTAAGAGTCACTCACAAGCCCTTGATAATTCAGCAGGCACATTTTCAGTACCAATATGATGCAATCTGCAATAAACTCACAGTATATCACACCTTTTCAGGAAAAAAAGAAATTTGAACAAAAACAAAAGCTGTTCCCTATTGAGATTGGGAAGGTAAAAACTATGCCTTTTTCTCGGTCCAAATACAAGTCTCTCTCTCTTGTCAACAATTAAAGCCAAATTGCTATTGATTTGTGACTATCCCTGCTTCACGCATTCGACTGAGAGCGGTACAACTCTTTCATTTGTGATCTTTATTCACTGTCCTTGGCAAGTTGGAGATGCCAGTTGGAAATTTGAAAAGCCAAATCATACAAAACTACATACATGTATGCTTTCAGCTGAAACTCTCTTATTAATATATTTGAATTTGAAAATTGCTGTGTGCTATTTATGAGAAAAATATAGTCTGAAAGTAACACTTCAGCACCGGAAGTAAGAGTCACTCACAAGCCCTTGATAATTCAGCAGGCACATTTTCAGTACCAATATGATGCAATCTGCAATAAACTCGCAGTATATCACACCTTTTCAGGAAAAAAAGAAATTTGAACAAAAACAAAAGCTGTTCCCTATTGAGATTGGGAAGGTAAAAACTATGCCTTTTTCTCGGTCCAAATACAAGTCTCTCTCTCTTGTCAACAATTAAAGCCAAATTGCTATTGATTTGTGACTATCCCTGCTTCACGCATTCGACTGAGAACGGTACAACTCTTTCATTTGTAATCTTTATTAACTGTCCTTGGCAATTTGGAGATGCCAGTTGGAAATTTGAAAAGCCATATCATACAAAACTACACACATGTATGCTTTCAGCTGAAACTCTCTTATTAATATATTTGAATTTGAAAATTGCTGTATGCTGTTTATGAGAAAAATATAGTCTGAAAGTAACACCTCAGCACCGGAAGTAAGAGTCACTCACAAGGCCTTGAGAATTCAGCATGCACATTTTCAATACCAATATGATGCAATCTGCAATAAACTCGCAGTATATCACACCTTTTCAGGAAAAAAAGAAATTTGAACAAAAATAAAAAAAGCTGTTCACCATTGAGATTGGGAAGGTAAAAACAATGCCTTTTTCCTGGTCAAAATACAAGTCTCTCTCTCTTGTCAACAATTAAAGCCAAATTGATATTGATTGGTGACTATCCCTGCTTCACGCGTTCGACTGAGAGCGGTACAACTTTTTCATTTTTATTTACTGTCCTTGGCAAGTTGGAGATGCCAGTTGGACATTTTCCTGTAAAATACATTGAGGTCTGCGCCTTCACTGAGAAGTCATTTTGAAAATACTGGTTAAAAATGAAAAGCGAAATCATCACACATCAACAAAAGAAAAGTACCTTGCTATTACTATCGGTTATATTCTTTTAACCTTTTCAACTACATATTTACAGTGAATATACATTAAAAAAAGAAAAAAAGTAAAACTGCTGCAAACTGCTTACTGACTGGATGGACCTGAAATATATAAATCTAAAATTAATGTGGCCTGACGTTGCGAACTTAGCAAGTTCTTCTTCAGAGGCTAAAACAGAAATGACAGAGATACATACATTAACATGGGGGTGCACACAAACATGCAGGGCTGAAAGAAGAAACACAAAAGGAGGATTAGGAGGGAAAGGTGTGGAAAGATGCAGGGGAGGGTGGATGAGAGAACAAAGAAACAAAGGGAGATGGCAAACCACAAGGGGTCTGGTGTAAACAGGGGAGGGACCAGAGAGGGGAAGGATCAAAGGTCACAGGGAGTGGGAACGGACAAAAGAGTGTGAGAGTGAAGGGATGATGCGGGGGGGGGGAATGTTGAGGTGGAAAGGGATGAAAGATGGCGGGAGATGTGTAAACACAAACAAGGAAGACCAGATGGATTATCTGTGACAGAGGACAATGGAGGAAGAAAAGGATTAATCATTTCCAAGTTGGATGTTGAGACCATGTGGTTGAATAGTTCGAAGACGATTCATCCACACCTTCTCTCTGCTGAGGCGAACTGACTCTTTGCGATGGCCAAGAGATTCAATGCCCTGCAAAATCATATCAGAAATGGAGTGGTTAGGCAGGTTGAAGTGATGACCAACAGGGGTGTCTAGTTTCTTGGTGTTGACCGTTGATCGATGGGCATAGAAACGCTTCTTGAGCGTATTCTTAGTCTCACCTACATACTGCACTCCACAGACCCTGCAAGAAATGAGATATATGACATTAGAGGTGTTACAAGTGATGTTACCAATGGTTCTGTGGGTAGTGACAGAAGAGTGGCCAGAAAAGGAGTCAGACTCCTGGATATGAATCTGGCAGACAACACATCTGGAACTGCACTTGAAAGTACCATGCTGGGTGGGAGGGGATGCATCTAAGGATGGGACTTCAGCTCGAACAATCAAGTCCCGTAGATTTCGAGGACGCCTGTAAGCCAATGTGGGGCCGTTGGGGATGGCGCGGGCAAGGCGATCTGAAGTATGGAGGATATGATGATTGTCATTAGTGATTTTGCGGAGGGGAGGGAGATTGGGGTGAAACGTGGTAACCAAGGGAATCATGGGTTTGGCCATGGCATCAGGGGCCTTTCCCGTGAGAGCTTGATTTCTGGGGATAGATTTAGCTCTGGCAATGGCACGATGAACTTGGCGAGAGCTGTGACCCCTGGCCACCAAGTTGTTCTTCAGTATCTGTGTATGGCGGGAGAAATCGGAATCATTAGAACAAATTCTTCTGAGTCTGAGTGCCTGGCTAAACGCTATGCCAGTTTTGCAGTGCCTGGGGTGACAGCTGGAGGAGTGGAGGTACTGGTGGGTGTCTGTGGGTTTGGAATACAGGTCAGTGGTTAGTGAGTTGCCTTGCTTGCGGACGGTGACATCCAGAAAGTGGGTTTGGTGAGCCGAGAACTCCGATGTGAATTTGATGGTTCTGTGGAAGGAATTGATGTGGTTAGTGAAGGTCAAGAGACTGTCCTCATCACTGGTCCAGATGAAGAAAACATCATCAATATATCTCCACCAGATCCAAGGGCGACATGGGGCCGAGGCAAGAATGCGTTCTTCGAGGTCACCCATGAAGAGGCAAGCCATCGACGGGGCCATGCGAGTGCCCATTGCAGTGCCGTGTACCTGTAGATAGTGTTCACCAAGGAAGGAAAAATTGTTCTTCGTTAGTATAAGTCTCATGAGGGTGCCAACATCACTGATGGGAGGAGTCGTGTGTCCTGCCTTGGCCAGAGCCAAGGAGCAAGCACGAACTCCCTCCTCATGTGGGATGTTGGTGTACAGAGATGAGACGTCGAAAGTCCCAATGATGGCTGTGCTGGGAATCTGGTCCTTGATTCCTTCAAGCTTGCGTAGGAAGTCTGGGGTGTCGTGAATGTATGACGAAATCTGTGGGACAAGGGGTTTGAGAAAACTGTCAATGAACAGAGAGATGCGTTCCGTGGGTGAGCCATTACCGGAGATGATGGGTCTACCGGGGTTGCCAGCCTTGTGAATCTTGGGTAGAAGGTAAAATCTGGCAGTCCTACAATCACAGGGAGAAAGAAATTTGTGAGCTTTCTTCGACAACTGGTCACGTGATCGCATATCGTCAAGTACCTGTTGTATATCTTGACAGAAAGTGCCTGTGGGGTCAGAGTCAAGGCGGGTATAGTTAGTGCGATTATCCAACTGGCGGTGGGCCTCATCAATGTACTGCTGACGATCCATGATGACCACAGCTGAACCTTTATCTGCTGGCTTGATGATGATGTCGGTGCGAGAGCGCAAGGAGTTGAGAGCCAGGCGCTCCTCTCTGGGGAGATTATCATGAGTCCTGTGGGGGAAGTTGTCCGGGTTAGTGACTTGGGAATTGATAACTTGAACGTATGTCTCTATGGCTGGCACACGATTCTTGGGGGGTACCCATGAACTCTTGACTCGAAAAGGCTCTGGCTCACACGGTTCACTGTCCAGGAAAAACTCACGCAGGCGGATTCTACGGTAGTATTCCGTGAGATCTTGGCTGTCGAACGCGTGAAGCAGGGATAGTCACCAATCAATATCAATTTGGCTTTAATTGTTGACAAGAGAGAGAGACTTGTATTTTGACCAGGAAAAAGGCATTGTTTTTACCTTACTCAGATAACAGTTTACAAAGCATTGAAGAAACATTGTCATTGAATTGAGAGCAAGAGCCGGCATTGGATTGTTCATTTTAGTTCATGATCATGTACATGAACCTAGCTGCTTGCTTGTGTAACCGTGAAAAATGACACACTTGGGGAACTCGCACAAACTAAGACTCTATGGGGATTAACTAACAAAACTAAACTAAACTCAGGATCTTTGAATGGAAGAGTCGCGAGGAAATTGAATTAATAGAGACCAGAGACGAATTCTAGATTTCGAACAAAAAAAGACCAAAAAAGAATTTATTTACACGAACCTTAAACCATAAACCAGTAACTAAAAGCAAAGAATAAACCTATAATCCAAAGACTTAAACCAAAAAAATCAAGAAATTGAGACTTAAACCCTAAAATCTAAAACCAACACAGTGTGAATAGTGGATCTTTTAAAGAACACTCAAGCAGGAATAAAGTCTGTAAACAAGAAAATACAAAAAGAGAAAACATATAAGGAAATGATCTAATGAATATTCATGATGTAATAAACAAGTTCTAAGATACAAAAGAAGTGGGAGACACTAATCCCCAAAGTGAAGGATTAGCACATCATAAAATAAGGCTAGTGACACCATCCTATACACAGGCCATGTGAGTTAAATGAGAACAAATAAAAGGCAATGAAAAGCTAAAGCACATGTTGAAGAATTTAAGAAAATCTCTAAATCTAATACTAAGAAAATGTACAAGAAAAACATGAAAATCTAGAATGCAAATGAACTTCAACCTTTCTTAGTAATAAAACAAGGCCAAAAAATCTATCCTTAAGTAAAACCAAGGCTGAAAACAAACAAAACTAAGAAACTTTCCTTCAAAAGAACTCAAAAAGAAACTTTCATTGAAATAGATTAAAGCTTCCTTATAACAGTAGGAACAAATCAATCATCAGGAAAAGAAGTAAAAAACACTAGTGCCTTAAGTAAAATAATAAAAGGAAACAAAATGAAACAAAAAGTTGTAAAAGAAAACTTCAAACTGGAGCTTCCTCAAAGATCTAAACTGACCAGAGTCAATTCAAAGCTAACAAACTTTCAAAAGAAAACTGAACTATATTTCTAATAATAATTATACATGATAAATGAAAAGTAGACAATATACAAAAGAAAACTCACCAAAGCAAATGACTCGGCAACAGACTAACCTCAAGCAGAACGGGCACTCCAGTTAGGAGGAAAATATATGCATGTATGTTTATTGTCTGCTGGTCTGCTGGCTGAACTGAAATGTGACTTGACCATGTGGCAGCTTTTATAGGGGGAACATGTGGGCTTAAGTAAACAAACAGGGGGGCACACTACCAACAAAGGGGGGGGGGGACATCTAAACTTCAACTAAAATGATTTTCTTTTTCTAAGGGGAGCTACTCCTATTTAATACACTATCAAAATACACAAGTAAAACTTGGCACTGCCACACTTGCTTGCTAGCTTGAACTGGTGCATTAAACATGATGACCTTTCCAATATATTTATATCACCAGACTAAACCCCAAAGGAAAGAGAAACCAACAAGCGTTTGAGAGAACAATTGAAAGCCAGAAGGGACAATGGTGAAGAGGTCATGATACGAAATGGGAAGCTAGTGGAAAGTAACAGAGGTTCCTTTCGTGGGCAGAGTCAGAGGGACGTTCTTCCCAGCTTGCCAGGAGCATCTGGTGGGACGTAAAGCAGACGCCATTTTAAGACAACCAAGCAACACTGCACCAGCACAAAGCACAAGCACAGATTCCCTGCAAAAGTCGAGAGGAACAACCGCGGAAAGGGATTTTGGAAGAGATAAACAGAAGCCGAGTGAGCTACCTGAAAAATTCTCTACAACTCAGCACGGGAAAAATCCCAGGAAACAGTTGAAGAAACATATTGAATCATCGCAACCCCTGCAGACGCCAAGTAGGCCTTCAGCAAGAAAGGAGGTGAATGCGAATGTACATGTAGATCCAACCGAACCTATTTCACCTATTGCACCATACAGCACAAACAGCACTATGTGGAAAGCACCACCAGCAGAGAAAGAAACAAACTTTAGTAGACCAAGATTTCTTTTGGACTGCTACTATACAAACGCTAACAGCATTTTAAACAAGAGAGGAGAGTTTATTACTATAACGGACCTTTTGAAACCAAACATTATTGGTATATCGGAGTCATGGTGCGACAGTACAGTTTTAGACGGTGAGATTTCCTTGGACGACTAGGTACTTCTCAGAAAGGACAAGTCGGTATCATCGGGAGGAGGTGAGTTACTTTACGTGCATAAATCGCTGCAAGTAATACCATGTCAAGATTTAAATGACTCTGGATTTGAAAGTTCAGCTTGGTGCGAGGTTAAGTTAAATCAGAACGACATCCTACTAGTCGGAGTATCCAGCAGTACTGATGAAAACAACGAGAAATTACTAGAGCTACTAAAGAAAGTAGGAGAGAAGGAGAGGAGCCACATACTTATAATTGGCGATTTCAACTTCCCACAAATAAACTGGGAAACAAGTGGAGTAAGGACGGATGAACAACACCCAGCCAGCCATTTCTTTGACACAACGCAGGATTTGTACCTCATTCAACATGTCAACTTGCCTACCAGACACAGAGACGGTCAACAGTCCTCAATCCTGGACTTGGTTTTCTCAAACGAAGAGTTCATGGTTGAAAATCCTAGAGATGTAGCTCCGATGGGAAAGAGTGACCATGTGGACTTAACGTGGACTTTCGTATGCAGCTCTGACATCACGTCAAGGGAGGAGGAGAACGGAGGAAGGCTAAACTTCACCAAGGCAGACTTTGTCAGCATGAGGGACTACTTTGGAACAGTTGAGTGGGAACAGAAGATGGAAGACATGAACTGTGAAGAGGCATGGCAGTATTTAAAGAAAGAATACAACCAGGCAGTCCAGGAAAATGTACCGAGGACAAAACCAAAAACGAAGAGTAAACCCCCGTGGCTTCGTTCACATGTCACAAAGTCTGTCAAAAAGAAACATAGATTGTACCAGAGGTACAGGAGATCAAAAGCATACCATGATTATGAAAGAGTACAAGAAACAAAGCAACAAGACAAGAAGCATAGTGAGGAAAGCACAAGCAGAGCACGAAGAGCGGCTTATGAAAGAATTTAAGAAAAAGCCAAAAGCTTTTTACAACTACGTGAGACAAAACCAGAAAGTTAAAGTTGGAGTTTTCCAGCTGGAAACAGAAGACGGAAATCTGACAAAAACTGATAAAGAAGCAGCAGCAGAGGAGCTATCAAGATTCTTCCAGTCGGTGTACACCCTAGAGCCAGATGGGGAGATCCCAGAACTTTCAAGGGTAGTTGACACCATCCTGTATGACTTGAACTTCACCTACGATGACATCTGAAAACCAGACAAGTGCCCAGGGCCAGACCAGATTCACCCCAAAGTACTCAGAGAATGCAGTGAGGAGCTGTCATTACCATTGTACCATGTCTACAGAAAGTCACTTGACAGTGGAGAACTACCTAAAGACTGGAAAATAGCCAGGGTAACCCCTATCTTCAAAAAGGGATCTAGGACAAAATCTGGTAATTACAGGCCAGTTAGCCTGACATGTATTCCCTGCAAGGTAATGGAGTAATTAATCAAGGACAAGATGACTGAGTTCGTACAACAACATGAGATACTATCTGACAGGCAGCACGGATTCACCCAGGGTAAATCATGTTTGACAAACCTGCTTGAAACACTAGAAACGATTACCCATGACTTAGATGAAGTCAGCGGAGTAGACATCATCTTCTTGGACTACCAAAAAGCTTTCGACTCAGTCCAACATAGACGACTACTAGGAAAACTCTCTACATATGGAATTGAAGGAAAGATAGCCAAGTGGATTGAGGGATTTCTAGTTGACAGATCTCAGGTAGTAGCAGTAAGGAATGCTGAATCAAGTCATGCAGACGTTGCAAGCGGAGTTCCTCAAGGATCGGTGCTAGGACCGCTTCTTTTCATCCTGTACATCAACGACTTACCTGGAACAGTAAAATTAAATGCTCAGATGTTCGCCGATGATACTAAAATGTTCACAACGATAAAGTCACCGGAAGACGCAGTCAAACTTCAAAGTGATATCGATGCACTGCTGAACTGGTCCAAGATATGGCTCCTAGGATTTAACGCAGACAAATGCAAAACCATGCATATGGGAAACAACAACCCAGGATGTGTCTACCAGATGGGAGATACCAAACTACAAGAAACAGATCAAGAAAAAGACTTGGGAGTGTATATCTGCAACAACTGTAAGTCGTCTGTTAAGTGTGCAAAGTCTGCCCAGAAAGCGATAAATAGCCTCAGAGTTATCAAAAGAACTTTCAAGCATATAACCAAGGAAAGCCACATTAGACTGGGCTTGGTCCAGTAATGTCAAGATTTTCAACGGATTTTACAAAACAGAACCAACAAGATTCTTCAAAATCTCCAACACAAGAGAAACAAGAGGACACAACATAAACATCTTTAAGAGTGGGATTAACAAAGCTCTGAGATGCAGGCAAGACTTCTTCTCCCAGAGAGTAGTCAACACTTGGAATGATCTACCAAGTTATGTTGTGAATGCCAAGACCACAAATTCTTTCAAATATGAGCTCGACGAGTACTGGAAGAGATATGGGGTCATAAAGACTTATAAAGCCTAATACTTATTCCCATTTAATCGTAAGTGTAAGTGTAAGTGTAATTGGTGAAGAGACGACACCTCGGGATGCGGTCTTGTTGCCGTAGCTCTTGACTTGGCTTGACTTGACTTGACTTGACTCTTTGACTGCTGCCTTGAGTGAAGCGATGGCACTGCCTTGTACACAGACGGGTCTTGGCAAATTTTAGCATGCCAAGATCCAATTCAATTCAATTCAATTCAATTCAATTTATTATTCGTCATGCCAGCATGAACTTTTCCTTCTCGCTTTGCACATAAAATTTCAAATACCTACAATACAGAAAATTAAATATATAAACATACAGTATACACGTTAAAACATTCAATGAAAAGGCAATAAATTAAATAATAAACGTGTTTCTCAAAAACACTGTAAAAGCCTAAAAACACACTCATGGACCACATTGAACAGGCTGCCTATGGGACAAGGAAAGGTTAGCTGGAGGAAAAATAGGGATAAATAGCTAGGAGAAAAAGAAAAAGAAAAAAAAGACTTGCGCACACGCACACAAAGGGACATGGAGAAAGAAGGGGTTGATAACGGAAGGAACAATGAAGGGCACGAGTAAGGAGGGGGTGGAAGTGAATGGATAGGAACAAAATATGAGATAAGAGGGAAGGGAAAATAAGGGGGGGGAATGGCAAGGAAGGCAACTGGAAATGAAAAAAACTGTGTAATGACAGGCTTAAAACTCTAATACATGTACATGTTCTTTAAAAACACATTATCTGCTAAAATCGTTATTGAAGCGAGAAACTGCACTTGGTACAAAGGACAGGCGATGACGGTTTGTCTTGGATTTGAGTTGTTGTAGTCTGCCGGACTTGTTAAAAACTTACAAAGTATGCAGCGGATGGGTATTGTCAAGCAGTATTGCTTTTAGTTTTGCCGGCACAGCTGACTCGTAGATAGATCTTACGTCTCGGACAGTATTACCAATGATTTTACCGGCTGATTTGGTGATCCTATTAAGCTTATTCAAATTATCTACTGTCAGACCGTTTACCCATGCAATACAACAAAACATGATCACAGACTGGATGACACTTTGATAAAACAAAGTGATTATCTCCCGGTCGATATTAAATAACCTCAATTTCCTCAGAAAATAAATTCGCTGATTAGCCTTAGAACATAATTTTTGAGTGTTGACATTCCAATTCAAGTGATCACCAATATACATTCCCAAAACTTCAGCTACAGAAAGTTAAGCTGAGTTTTGAGTTCGATGGTCGATCTTCATGTCTTGGTCCATCGGTAGAAACTATCTGGCAGTCTTGCCAGCAGAATTGAAGATTCTGTTCTCTTGCGTCAGTACTTCCGGCCAAGGGTTTCAAACATTGCTCTCAGACTTATTTTGCTCTAACTTATATAGCCCTATTTTGTGTTATGTAAACGTTTACATAATTGTTATATAAATTCTAAAACAAAGAGTTTTAATAAAAATTGCTGTGTGTGCATGGGTTACATAAAAGGAGTAAAAAAAAGTTACAATAAGAATGCAGCCTTGGAGCAGGTTGCATAAACCCAAAAACTGCAGTATAAGCAACTTTTGGTGCCATCTTAAGAAGGTCACCAGATCCATGTTACACAACTTGAAAATGTTATTGTGTAGACAAGTTAAAAGAAAGTAAATTCATCTTTGAACAATTATCAACATTATTGATAATTGCTTTTAATTAATATCCCATGACAGAGTACATATGTATTACCATCTCTAGTAGCAGGAAAAGGACCCATGAT